CTTTTTTATGTGTACGACCATATATGTAAGGGATATCCAACAAAGACAACGGAGACTGAAATGGCCGTTTCTGGCTTACCAGCCATCGGCTTTCAGCCCTACCTAACCCCAGAACTGTTGACCTGGTACTCGAACCCGGATTATTTGGTCATTGAGCATTTGTATGCCTAACGCTCTGCTACTGGGTCACGATCCCGCCCCGTCGGTTGCGATCAGGAATGAAATCAAGATTCAGACGCAATGTTCAACGAGACGAGCATGTCCCATAACCTGACTGGTAATCCGTATTTTAATAATGTTAGAAGAAGAAAATTGGCTCTCCGGAGCAGGTTTATTTAACAGCTGATTTTTCAAAGAGCTGGGTCGGCTCTTCATTGTCAAAGCGTAAACTGCACCTAATCGATCAGAAATTTAGTTTTAAGTGGCAAGTTGCGTTGGCCGGCCTCATGCTGATCGATTTTTTCCTCTCCTCCCGCTGCGTCGGTCTCTCAGGAGATGGTTGACGGGCGTTTTTGCCCGTGCGCTTAATGAATCACCACTCCGTCGAGGGGAGCTGATTGGACTTTAGTCGGGCGGTCGGTCTGGCGGTTCTTGTTCTTCCTCACCGAGTAAGCTCATCGTCGGGCTATCTCCGTGCTGCCTTCTTAAGTCAGGTGTGGCTGTTAGGTCCTGAGCTCTACGATTGTGATGACGTAGGACTTTGTAAGCTGCAGGAAGGTCCAGATGCCTGTTGATAGAGTGGGCATCGGAGAACCCCGCTTCGAGAGTTAGCCGTTCTGTTTTTGTGTTGCCTCGGCCTAAGATGGTAGCCCTCTGGAGGTCAAAAGTATGCCCCGTTTCTCCAACGTGTGTTGCTAGTTGAGAGTTAGGGTCTAACCTCCGAGTGGCCGATTTATGTTCTTGTAGGCGAGTTTGCAATTTTCGCCCAGTTTCGCCCACATAGTTGCCGGCGACGTATACCACGTGATCCACATCTGTTGGTCTTTATGCGTATAAGGACGTCCCTTCACAAACGCGCGAAGAAATTTTGCCGGTTTTGGTATTTTATGCGGTTTTTGCAGCCAGTACGCAATCTCACGAAACGCGATTTCAATTAGGAAGCTCTACTTTAGTTGGGTTGTAATGTTAATTATCGTGCAGCATAATTCGACGATATTTCAGCCAAGACAGGGCACCGGCTTTTGAATGCCGGCCAGTACAAACCACACTCGATAACAAATGACTGCCTAATTGGCATGATTTTTATTCTGTTTAATGGCAATGCACTTGTTAACTTAAATATCTTTTATAAATAACCATGGGAAAAATAACTTTACTTACACCACTTTGGTAGCAAGTCACGCCTTCTAATTTTATTCTCGAAAAAAGGTGTCCTTTCAACTTTCGATGTTTGTAATTATGAGGTTCCTACGACCGCGAAACATCAACTCAGATAATATCTTATCGGTTTGCTTATTGATGCACCTCATGAAGTATACACTACATGGTCCACATCAAGCGGCAAACTATCGTGAGCGCTACATGTTGTAGCGCTATATGGCATATGAGAGACAGCAATGTATTAAATTTGAGGAATACGTAGTTTTCTACAAAATCAGTACAAGAAGATATATTCTTGCCCCTTTTTTCTATGAAATATTTTTTGATTGATAAGGGAAACGAAAATCAATGGGAAAAATGCAAACTCGTCAAGTAGTCGCCTTTCTGAAAAGTACAGTTTTTGCGGATGGCCGAAGCTTGTTCAAAAGCCAACATCCTGGCATGACTGCATAATAATGGGATTATGCAGCATGATGATCGGCATTACAGTCTCACTTAAGTGATTCACTTTAATTGGAAATGCATTTCAGCATTTCAGTTAACATTCCAGGAGATTGATCACTGACTATAAATTAAGAACACTAGTGACAAGTAAAAATAAGGTGGTGCTTGAAAGTGCATAGGAGTTAGAAAGTATTTAAAAACTGAAATACACCGTCGTTTTAAGTAAACAAGCTTAAAAAGAACCTAATTTTCTGCAGCATAAACTTGAGATGGAATTTTGGCCTTTCATTCCGAGGAACCGTCCTTTAGTTAGTACAGGCACCGAAAACTACACTGGACCATGTAAGTAGTGCTCTTTCCCGAATGAAGGAGGACTTTCGAGTCCTACGTTCTTGTAACAAAGACGATGAAGGCATGATCACTGTAACAGTAGGTGTTCGGGTCCGAGCTTCTCGACTCGTACAGAAGTCCATCATCAGAGCCTATGGGAGTGCAACGAAAACTGGACAGCTTTATAGTCAGACTGTGAGACGGGAGGAAGGCTGTGTGTCTGCCGCCGGGCTGAAGGGACACCGTCTATCCACCTCGTGGCGACAGTGTGCGTCCACGGCTGGAAACTAGGCCGCATATTCCGGCTGCGCGAACGTAACGAAATAGGGGGGTTGGTACATCAACTACTACTACAACTACTACTACTACTACTACTACTACTACTACTACTACTACTACCACTACTACTACTACTACCACCACTACTACTACTACTACTACTACCACTACTACTACTACTACTACTACTACTACTACCACTACTACTACTACTACTACTACTACTACTACTACTACTACTACTACTACTACTACTACTACTACTACTACTACCACTACTACTACTACCACTACTACTACTACTACTACTACTACTACTACCACCACTACTACTACTACTACCACTACTACTACTACTACCACTACTACTACTACTACTACTACTACTACTACTTCTAATACTACTACTACGACTACTACTTCAACCAATACTACTAGTACATAAGGGTGCTTTAGTATCTTCCAGTTTTTTAGCATTCTGGAAGTTGAGGACCTTATCATGCCAATCCGAGACTCCAGAAAGCTACTATAGCACAGAGGCCACCCATCCACCGTCGAATTAAAGCACGCAAGTGCAACCGCCGTAGGTCTAGAATTCCGGAGAATTGGTTTGGAGCCTGGTGTTGTTGCTGCAGAAGAAACTGCCGCATTGTGACACTCATGAGTAGGACTCTTTGTTATGTCAGCCACTGTGCGCAAACTTGTATCCCGTCATTCTGGGGCACCCTAATCATTGAATCCGCTGATTGTGTTGACGTAAGATGAGGTTGATGGGATGCAAAGCTTCCTTGCTACAATTCACGTGCAAGCCATCACTGTTCCCTCAGGGCTGGTACGACCATAGCTCCGTTCGATGGACACGGCCCTATTATCCTGACTCAATCGTCCGATTGTTTTGTGCGTTATCTCCTCCTAAGCCCAATCTAATCACCAGCTGTTTGGTGGGCTCGGAGAGCCGACTTGTGCATGGCAAGAGTGAGTGAGGCCAACGCTGGGGAATGCATTCTCACGACAAGTCGTGAAATGGAAGGCTGCCAACTGACCGTATAACTCGGTCTTGACGGCAAGTGCTGTACGTAAATGAAGAATGACCTTCGTGTGACCTTCGCGGCACTCCAGAACATGTGAGATCCCAGTAGCCTCCCTGTTTTTGCGAAGTCAGCACGTTGAGTGCTAACCGGACCGCGCGTGGCACACTAGACGAACCGTATACCATTGCCAGACATCACATTTACACAGCAAAGGCTGCCAGTGTTAGCTGGTTTCGCCCGTTTCTTCTATGTGGGTGCGTGCAGAAGCAGTAGCTGTTGAAGTTGTTTGGATAATTGTTCTTTGCCTGCTGGTCTCGAAGATGCCGCAGTTTCTTACTCACGGCAGTGCGTTTGTAGCCTTTGGAAAAGCGACCTAATACAGCCGCGTTTGTGCACCATCGAGTGATTGCTTTGACAGCAAAGACCTGGGTTGTGATGCCAACCTTTCTATACGCCCTAATGTCGAGTTTGCCATCGGTTTTGTCTGTGACGAGAACGTCAAGGGTAACTGTTCGGTCATCTCTTCCTCCCTTGTGCAATGAATGTCGTGGAAGATGCAGTCAAACGGGTTCTGGAGGTATGATAGCCTGTTCCTCTAACGAACATATCGTCCACGTATCGGAGCGAAAATGCAAGCTCAAAAAAGTTGGATGTGACCTTCTCCAGTTCTGTCAGGACAAATTCTGCATTGAGGCAGAATATTGGTGAAACTTGGTAGAGGGGCGATCACACATCGTTTTTACGGAACTCACTCGTCCCGTTGTGCCTTTCGCGCTCTCCCTCTCGGGTCCAATCAGCAGCCGTACTGCGGCGCATGATATAGGTAGAATGATATTACCGACAAAGACAAGGGAGACTGGAATGGCCATATCTCGCTTACTAATCGTCATCAACTAGTTATACCCAACCCCGATGTGTGGAGCACCTGGGACTCGATTTCGCGACCTGTTGGTTAGAAGTCCAACGCCTCTAACCACTGATCCACAGGCTCGTTGGTCTGTCAGTTGCGATCGGGAATATACAATGGTAGAGGGTGTCTATGTTACGCGCCACCGTGCAGCTGCTAGACTCGAGAGTCCTATATCACAACGGGGCGAATGGAGTCCCGTAGAAACAATCGATGAGCGTCCCTCGACCATTGTATATTCCCGATGGCAACCAACAGGACAAAAAGCCTGTGGCTCGGTGGCCAGGGCGTTGGACTTCCAATTCACAGGTCACGGGACTAAGCCCCAGGTGTTGCACACTTCGGGGTTGGGAGTGACTGGGTGACGACGCTACTAAGCCCGAAATGGCTATTGCAGTCTCCCCTGTCTTTGTCGGTAATGCCATTGCAGAACCTACTGGTATTCGTTTGATTTGCTCGCATGGTCTTCAACTGAAAGTGATGAGCTTCTGAATGGTCCGAAAGCTCAAGCTAAGACACCTACTGTTTGATCTGTGGAAGTGGCTGCAAAGTTGCCCGGACAAGAGCCAATATCTTCTCATATATTATACGGCATTGGACCACAGACTGTGCATATGAGCATTGCAAGAGCACTTAAATAACTGTTTGCATTAGAAAGCATACTTCACTATTTCGACTAGCGTTTTTTATCAAGTGCTTACCGAGGTACCGCAGGCCCTGGCGCAATTAAGGCATCGACGCGGTCTGGCAGAGACAAATGACGGAGCCTCTGAATGGGGTGCGCCCTCATCTCCGCCATTGGCTGTGTGGTACGAGACGGGTCCCTCATGACTACTGCTTTCCGACCGAGGAGAACCGCCGTCAGTTTTCGCTCCGCCCTGTTGCTCAGTTGCGATACTGTCAGCGCATCCGGGACTGGAGCCGGTGGAGCCGTGAGTCACCTCTCCGGACAGCAGGTCCAGATGATGCAGTGAGATTTGAGAGTTTGGGAGAGCAAACAGGTGCGACCCAACTGCGTGCTGGTAGTAGAAGACCTTCTTCAGCTGGGGTCGAAGCCTGCGCAAGTGGTGATGAACGTCCTTCTTGTCACTGGCGACACTGGCGTGATGCAGTGCAAGAGCAATTTCTGTGTAGACATCAGTAATTTCTTCGTGCTTGTTCGGATCTCGCAGTATAAGTGGTCTGAGGTACCTGTAAACAGATTGTTATTAAAATGAGACCAACTGGGTGAAGGAGGGCGATAAAATCAGAATCACAACTACGAAATGAGTAAGCCCTAAAGCCTGGGGATCTTTAGTCTGGATTGACCTCTCATTGGGATTATCTCGATCGGGACCATGTCCTGAGTGCAGGAGGAGAGTAAGTGATTAAATCCGTTCCACGCCGAGCCTACTTCGACATCTCATTCCCCCTTAGAATTTTTTTTATTTTTGCGCAAACTCTTCGAGACTGGACATGGAGTAGCGGGTACGGCCTCCGGAGAGGGCAAATAGTTGAACAGGCAAATCTACTCACCTGCCGAATAAACAGTCAATGACCCTGAAGAAGGAGAGACACGATCGCTGGGACAAGAGCTTTATTAGCCTGACGTTTCGGATTCCTGCTCGAGCCCATCATCAGAGACAAAAGCAGATAAGGGTGGTGCATGCACAAGGGGCTGCAGTATTTAAAGGATGCAGTCGCAATGCCACCGCATACCTACGTCGGAGAAACTGAAAGGCAGCTCCGAACGCGAATGGCCGAGTACGCTGCAGCGGTGCGGAGAAACGACGCCAGCTCTAAAGTTGCGGCACCTTCGACGAGATCCGGCCACACGTTCGAATTCGATGAGGCCGCAATTCCCGCTAGAGGTGATCACCGCGTGAGCCGGGAGCTACTTAAATCATGGTTCTCCGGCCCCCAGTCCATCAACAAGTGCAATGACCTTCCCTTTCCATATTCGGTTCTGAGACTTTGTCTAGGCGGAGTAATTGGCCACGCGGGAAGCGCACAGGTGAACACTTTTCCCAACATTAGGATCGGTGCGTCAGATGGTCGAGCAATCATCACACCGACACCCAACGCACGTGATGAGATTGCAGCAATTAACGACGCGAATTCCGGCTATCAAACAGTCACACACCACGCGCAACGATCCCTGACGAAGGGGGTGAGCCGCAAACATTCATAGGTATGTGGCAGCATGGCGACTACAGAGCCTTGTGTATGAACTACCCTTATTTGCTTTTGTTTCTGATGATGGGTTCGAGCAGAAATCCGAAACGTCAGGCTAATAAAGCTCTTGTCGCAGCGATCGAGTCTCCTCCTTTAAAACCGCTTCATGGGACTCGTCTCTTCGCCTCTATTGGCAGTCAATGATCTGCAACAACTGGTCATCCATCGAAAAGCCACGGGCAATAGCAGTATTGTGTCATGGCGAATGCTGCCCGCAAACCATAGAATCTCTGGCCGGTACACCTCAGGTTAGGATGGAGACGCCGACTGTCGACTGAAGAAAGAGCATAAAACCATTCGCACCCCCATCATGGCGTCCCATTCAACCGCCCTCTGGTGAGTCACAGTCTATGCCAGTTCTGGATGCCCAGAGAGCCGATTTGGGTTTCGATGAAAAAAAAGAGTGCGGCCAGCAATTATCTCTTAACTAACGAATACAGACTGTTGTTGCCTTTTAATTCCCCCAGAAATTAACCTTAAACGTGGAGTATATCAGTATATACTTACCGAAGAGCCGAACCCCTCGCAACTGTGCCATGCAGCGGCAGAATATCGGCGAAAAACGCGTTTCTGGGCTTTTAGTGAGTACCTACGCTTCTAGTATGGTATCTTGTCACCCTAAAAAGTTCCGACTGTTCGGCGTAGCCCATCTTGCCTTTTCGATGGAAACACACTTTCCCGCCTGTAAAATGATACACTTTTTTATCTGTTGTGGTTGTCATGCACCCGAGGTTCTACAGGACTGTGACGTGCACGCCAACTGTCTTGCAAAATATCGCGAAGTCCATTCATGGCACTACAACATGGCGACCGTTGAGCCCTACTAAATAAGTTTGTTCGTCGGGGCTGTCTTGCAGTTCTCTTATACCGATCATAGCATCAAGAGAGGCATTCCGGGAGAATTAGTCCAGATGGTTATTTGGGACGTGTCTTCGCTTAAGAATTCAATATGACCGAACACTATACAAAGATTTGCGTTACGGGACTCGTAACTCTCGTCCAACGGTACAGTCGAGTAGCATGCAAGCCAGACTATTCGGTCGAGAGCGAACCCTCGGCAATGAAGGCTGGAATATGCGCGCTCTAAACACTACGACCTTCAAACCAGGTCCCGAGTAAGTAAAATGAAGTCATGTTCTAGGAGAGAGTACTCCACCCCCTACAGAATGAAAAAAGCTGGGGCATGTTGGCAGCCGGATGGAAAGCGTGCACGTGCAGCTAACGCCGGGGCAGTCGTCCAACCGTCTCAGACGAGGACAAGCTGCTTCCGCCTTGAAGCTGATTGGCTGTTTTGGAGTGCTGTGACTGGTCGAACACCAACCAGAGCGTCTCGGTGCCAGGGCCCGACCAGACAGGATGAGGGCCCAATACAGGGCTACAGAAAGCCAGACAAACGATGAGGCAGACATGCAAATGCGCGCCAGACAATGTTGCGGCAGGCGTCCGGAGTAGGGCCACTATACGCGTATGTCCTCGACCTCGGTACCCCAAGTCTGTCTATGCGCGGCCTTTCCCAAAATTGCGGCCATTATCTGGTTGTCAGAATCGCAGACTGCAGTGTCCAGTAGATCAGGCTTCCGAGGGCTATCTCATAGTTCACACTTCGTCATAGTGGTCCCATAGTCCGGCACAACGAAGTTAGGTTCTCACGGCAGTTGCGGAAACTGACTGACAGACTCCCTCGTCGTGATCTACAGCTGACTCGGTTTCTGACGGGGCTAGACGACTATTCAAACAATCTAGGTATTCGCCAGTGCGAACATGGTGGAGGAATGCTGAACTGTGGTCACCAGAAAAGGCGATTTACGAATAACGCTCGTTTTTAACGAGCGCATGTTGATTTAGTGCTTCAGTGCTGGTCGCAGTCAGACAGGCTTATTGTGTGTCATTCAGTTCGCAATTTGGTATCTTGGTGTATGATAAAGGGTCAACGCGTGATGCCAAAACCGTCAACCTACAGGCCAGACTATTTTCTTCCCCTCGCAACTTTAAAGGCCCACTTTTCATCCGCGCCAGTGAACAACAGCCGCAAAATTCACGGTTGTGCCCTAACCACAACTGCTCACAGAATGGATCGCGTGTAAGTGGGGAAATGTGCTCCCGTTTGGCGCCTGCTCGCAGATCAAACTGTGCGTATGTGTATAGCCCAGTCTGGGCATAAGACGTACGCGTTGTTCACAAAAGAATGTCTGTGAGCACTTTGACGACAGCACTAAGACCGGATTACTGACCGAGGAAGAAGAAGAAGAATAGTCGCCTGATAGCGTGTAAAGTTGGCGCACAAATACCTCCACAAGACGAACCTCAGAATGATGTTAAAATATATCGACCTAAAAGCTGGGTGCTCAGAAACAGAACTTTGATCTAGCTCTCCAGCCTGAGTAGGAGGAAAAGGTGACTAAGTAGGATTAACGCAGGAACGCCGGAGTTGTTTGGTCAAACGGCTCGGGCTTGGTCTCACGACTGAGTACTCCCGCCAGCTCAGGAAGATGACAGAAATAGGGTGACAGCAGAGACTATTGGGCTCAAATCGCGCCTTCCATTGAGCGGGCCTTAAACACCAACGACGCTTGAAACTTTTGCCAACTTATTCCTCAATTTAGCCGTGGGTCACTGGCACCGAGTGACACTGCCCACGATGTGAAGCGTGATATAGTGTTGATAACTCGGCCAAGGTCGAGCACCAGTGTGAACACTTTGCGCGCTTCCTGTTTTCGATGGCCAACCCACTAAATTCTCCCACCGGGCTTGGAACTTCAGTCCTCTTCAGGCTACGCACTGTCATGTAACCCTCTTTCTCAGAAGTAAATCGTCCAGAATGTGTTAATGATATGCAAAAACAGAGTGTCCGGAGAGGACGGCAGTCACATTGAAGGGGATAAGTTCTGTATCCATATTTGGACACCTAGACTCCTTAAGGGGATTGAGTGTGTAACTTGGGCTCTGTTAACGCCTTCAAGGAGAGATGAAACGAAGTGCGGTAATAAGTACGGCCCAAGCGTCCTCGTATTGCTGGAAACTTTTATGCAACCGCCCTTCCTCAGATTTTAATCAATGGGTCCAAATCAAGGATGAGACCCAAGTCGCTTGTGAGCGATTTGACCGAATAGACCCACAGCGTTGCATTTTCAAAACTTACTATAAGTATCAGCAACACACTGCAACAGTAGGTTGGATAAGTTGCCAGTCTCGAATAGCATATTACTAACACAAGGACAGAGAAAGGACCTCGCCGTCCGAATGGACTCAAATCTTCAACACCGTCTATTGACCCCTCCCGATATCTCAAGCCCAACCAACATCCGAGTGAAGTTGACGCTCATTTAGTCAATGCATTTCTATGAGACTGAAAGCTTGGTTGTGGACATGGAAGACAAGGGGAAGCTGGGGCTTTTCTAACACCCGTTGGTGGTTTAGACGATCCGAAAAACAGGTACGGGAGTTCGGGCACACTCTGCTTCCTTTGTATTACGAGTGCCATGAAAATGACGCAAATACTCCTCATTTGTATATGTGACGGTGCTCGACATAACTCACTGGCCACATCGAAAACGGCCGTTGCATTAGCGTTTGGCGATTTCAGTCTACAAAGTGCATGCTTTCCGCGTAAGGAAAACCGTATATTCCTCTATGCCCTTGAGAAAATATTACATAGAGTCCATAAAATTATGCAACGGACGCGGACTATGGGGTACATCTAATTGGGAGCATTTGGAAACGGACATGTGCGATGCCGTATGTATGGACATCGCACGATCTTAAAAGTCTCATAACTGGAAACTTTTTCAAAACTTTAGTTTACCCTTTCGTCGGGTATAAAATATGAAGATAGAATGATTCTTTACCAAACGAGTAAAATAAAGCATATTTTATGCGTGTTTTCTACTAAATATATTTGAATTTCTAAGACCATCAAAAATTGGTGCGAAAAATGCATGTTACGTACGTAGTCATTTTTAGCAAGTGTGTTTTCTGAAGGAGGTCGGAAAGAAGTGCATTCAAAAACCGATATCCTGGTGAGTCCGAAGCATTATAAGGTTACGTCGTATGACAATCATTCTTACAACCGCACCTAAGTAATCCTTCCAAAGCGAAAGCACACTTCAGAATTCCAGTCATGCCATTCTGCCTATTTCATGCGCCGCTGTGCGGTTGCTGGTTGGGCTCGAGAGAGAGCCCATAAGTCACGACGGAACGAGTGAGTTCCGTAAGAACGATAGCTGAGCGCCCCCTACCATTGTTGAATGATGTTTATGATGCCTGTCAGAATGCTACTAACAGAAACAACCCACCTCATGAGATTGGTCACTCACTGTACTTAAATATAACCGCCCGCCATGGAGTCAAACTTCAGACCGTATTGAACACCTGAACGCGGCAATCCCCCAGAGAACCCAAAATAGTTGTTGAATTATGTCTATGATGCCTGCCAGAATGGTACCAGCGGAAACAACCCCCTGGTAATGTCATTTCATATTAACGTGTAATTCCTACTAAGTCGCAAATTATTTACTTGTCGAACCTTGCGCTTAAACTGTACGTCAGCAAAACTAACTCCCATTATTTTGCCATATAAAGCGGCCACATGTTCCTTTTTCCCTCTGTGGTGCGCGTTCTCATCACGCAAATGTATCACTTTTGGTCAGATAACCAAACCTCGATTGACATTCTGGGGTCTAGGAAAACAAGCGTATTATTTTCAGGGTAGCCAGTCAAATATGGATGGAATTTCTCCAAACCAGAGAAATGAATGCGATGAACATGTTGCCGAAAGTATCATGTCTAAGGTTGAAAACAAAGTACAGAGTCTTCCGAGCAAATGAATGTAGGGACAATCTGGACACGGATTTCAGACATTTGCTATACTTCAATCTGGCGAAATGAGACTGCGCAATTTTGCTGCCAGGTCGAGGTGGCACATGGCCTATCAATTTAGGTTTTTTGTAGGCGATTGTGCCTTTATGAGCTGACCGCGCGGGTCAAACGATGGATGAGGAGGATTTTGTGAACACAGCATCCACCGAACTCCTCCAGGCAGGTGATATCTTTTGACTACACGATCCACCATTCGCACCCATGAAGAAGGATCGAGTCGAATAAGGGCTCGTATACTCACAGTCTTATCTTCAGACTGATTTCATACCGGATCTGAGTGAGTTGCGAAGTCTGAAGGAAGCCGCCCACGCCTCGACGACCATGTGGGGGAACTTACCCTTATTGTGTCCTTAAGCAGAATGCTTCAGAAGTTGCCCATTAGCCAACTATATTCACCGTTTTCAATGATCGAAAAATTTAAAGACTATCTGTGTTTAGGAAGGAGGGATATTCAGGTTCAATTCTACGTGGATTAACGCTCATCTGGCAAATATAGCGTGCTGCGCTTCTAAAAAGGTCCTCGTCAGTGTCGCAACGTCAAGATCCCTGACGCAAGGACCATGGCCCAATGCAAAACAGGACCGGGATACCAGTGAAGAACGAAGGACAACGGTAGGGTGAGGGACCCCAGCTGGTTTCTGGTAAACTATGGATCGTGTGCTGCTGTATGTGTTTGCGAAACCTAGTTAAGCACTAATTACTGGCAGTTGCACCCAAGAGCAGAGAAGCAAAAACAGAGACCAACTGAGCATGAATTTAAGGATTACGGAAATGTCTGCCAGGGATAGGCTCAGTTTTTCGATGTTCAGGGACTCTTTCAAGATGGAACGCCATGGACTATTCAGCTGGATACCGCATCTGCAGTTTTTCATCATTTAACTCGACGGTCTTCTGTGTTTTTCTGAATTCCGTCAGCTTACTGTCTGGCGTGCTGTCCCACCTCTTAACACCCCTCCCATCACCACCATTCTGTATGAGACGATCCTCAGTCTATCAACAGCTCAGTGGGGTCGTTCAGCCTACCGTTGCCGGACTAGGTTCAGCAAGAAATTGAACTTAGCTGATGATGTCACACACCTCACCTTGAATAAAATGCCCCTATGAAACATGGGCGCGTACAGAGAACCTCGATGAACAGGGAGAAACCCAGAAGCAAATTTCACGAAACAGAGAGGAGTAAAGTGCTATAAGCAGCGACGATGTCGACGGCTTCGAGCAAAATGAAAATGTTGATCAGTACGCTCCCGCATTGGCGACAAGTACGATAATTCTTTTTGTTTAAGTATCTCGATGGAAGCTAAGGCTATCAAAAAAGACTACCGTTTCAGTTGTTCTTGCAATATGCTCTGTCGTCCAAACTGAAGATTGGCTTGACAATAGTGTCGCTCCAATTGGCGTTAACGCGCTCCGTTTCCCTTAATTTTATCAAAGACCGTGAAGTCTGTCAGTAAAAAAAGTTGAGTAGAACCTTCGGATTATTGCCGTCAGTTTTCACCGGATTTTCCGTCCCTTTTCAGCTTTCATAGTGCCTCGA